AATGTCGTCAGATGGTTGTGGTATAGATGGTTCAGGATTAGGGAAAGATGGTTCTTCTGGTGGTTTAGTAAAGGATGGTTGTTCATATTGTGTTTGTTGTGGGGGTTCAGATTGTGTTTGTTGTGGTTTAGTAAGGTGATCGATCCTGCGATCTTACCAACATTGCAAAAAGAAATAATTATTACTTTGTGTGAGCTTGAAATGTATTTTCCTCCATCATTCTTTGACATAATGGTACATCTAGTTGTGCATCTTGTGAAAGAGACACAACTGTGTGGACCTGCCTATATGAGATGGATGTACCCTGTTGAACGTTATATGAAAATATTGAAAGGGTATGTGAAAAACCGAAGTCGACCAGAGGGATGTATTGTTGAACGATACATTGTTGAAGAAGCTATTGAGTTTTGTACTGAATATTTGTCCAACATTCAATCCATTGGCCTCCCAAAATCTCATGTTGTTGAAAAAATAGTAGGTAAACAATCAATTGGAAATAAAGTTGTGACAGTTTCAAGGGATGAACGGGAGCAAGTGCATTTGTATGTTCTGCACAATGACATTGAGGTTGAGCCGTACGTTAAATTACACAAGGACGTTCTCTGAGGTTTAAATCCGAATAGAAATGAAAATTGGATAGTACGTGAGCACAATAGAAGTTTTATGACATGGTTCAAAGAGCATATTTTTTCAAAATTTTATTCTGATCCCGCTTCAATAACAGAAAGTTTGACATGTTTAGCATATGGTCCAAGTTTGCATGTGTTTTCTTATAGCGCATACGCAATTAATGGATACACATTTTATACCAAGGAACAAGATGATAAAAGTACAATGCAAAATAGTGGTGTCACCGTGCTTGCCGAAGCAATGCACATTTCCTCGTATTTTGGGATAATCGAGCGCATTTGGGTGTTTGATTATGAGAAGTTTCTGATTCCTATCTTTGGATGCAAGTGGGTTGAAAATAATAGTGGCATACGAATGGATAAGTCAGGTTTTTTGCAAGTGGATCTTAATAAGGTGGGGGTACAAAGATGAGCCTTTTATTCTAGCCACGCAAGCTAAACAAGTGTTCTATGTCACTGATCCGACAAGTACGAAATGGTCTATAGTTCTTTTTTCCAACAAAGTAATCGATGATAACATTGGAGAAAAGGGGGATGTTGATGTTGAGAATGAATCTTATATTATGGATGATCCAGATGAGAATATTAGAGCAAACGAATTATATATTAGAAATGATCATAACGAGGGAATTTGGATCAATCCATCCGTCCGTGTTGTTAAGAGACAAGTAAACCACGTTCAAACTAAGAAAAGAAAGAGATGTTAAAGGTACTTGTAAAATTACATATTGTCTCATTCAATAAAATTACATATTATTTCTTATTTATACGTACCATGTTTTTCTTATTTATACATTTCTTATGTATGTATATATTTCTTATTTACATATTTGCATGTCATTCATTTGATACTTTGGTTTTTCTGAATTACAGGTAAATTATGGCCAACAATGAGGAAACATCACATGATGGAAAACATACAACTGATATTAACCGATATCACATGGTATGGATCGATTCATAAGTTATATGATTCATTTTGATAATTATCCGATATTTCATCTGAGTAATTAGTTTTAGAATTAAATCGTGCATGTTCTGTTATATTATGTAGTATTATGATGAATTCAAGTGCGGAACTTACTCGAAGGCAAGATTGGAAGAAATTAAAGAGGAATGGTGTCATTTTATTCTAGAGTTGAGAATTGTATAAATGTATAAGTCGTGTCTATTTGTAAAGTTAACGGATTTATAATTATATGTAAATTGATTGTATTTGTGATGTTGTATTGTGTATATAATGCCAAAGTGTTGAATTGTGTATATAAGGCAAAAGTGTTGAAATAAAGGGCTGAATTATATAAGCAGGGAATGTAATATAAGCAGGTTTATTGAAAAAATATGAAAAATGTGATTATTCAGAAGAAGAAAAAAGCGCTGCTATAGGTGGGTAAAGGGGGGTCTAAGACAACGCTTTTAAAAAGCGCTGCTAAAGGGGGGGGGGGGGGGGTCTAAGACAGCGCTTTTAAAAAGCGCTGCTAAAGGGGGAGAGAGGGAGGGGGATTAGGCAGCGCTTTTAAAAGCGCTGCTAAAGGGGTAAAAAAGCGCTGCTAAATGTGCTGCTAAAGGGAGCCTTTAGCAACGCCACTTTAGGCAGCGCTTTAAAGCGCTGCTAAAGGCCAAAAAAAGCGCTGCTAAAGGTCAATTCTGGTATAATGGTCTTTCATCTCAAACTCTGCCGATAATTTCTCTTTGAGAAAATGTCTCTCAGTAAAATCATCTCCTGTAACAATAATATCATCAACATAAACAAGAAGTACAGTCAATTTTCCTTCCTGTGAATGTTTAAAAAATAAAGTGTGGTCTCCTTGACTTTGCTTATAGCCCAAACACACCATTGCCTTTGTGAATCTTCCAAACCAAGCCCGAGGGGACTGCTTTAGTCCATATAAGGCTTTCTTCAATTTACACACCTTGTTAGCTTCATTTGTTATGCCAACACCCGGTGGAATCTCCATATACACTTCTTCCTCTAAGTCTCCATGCAAGAATGCATTTTTAACATCAAACTGTTGCAATTCCCATCCACATGATGCAGCAAGAGATAGTAAAATTCGAACAGTGTTTATTTTTGCCACTGGGGCAAATGTCTCCTCATAATCAATACCATATGTCTGAGTATAACCTTTTGCCACTAGTCTTGCCTTGTACCGATCAAGTGTGCCATCAGATTTATACTTTACAGTATAGATCCATCTGCATCCAACCGGCTTTTTGTCTCTTTGCCTTTCAATAATCTCCCAAGTACCATTTTTTTCAAGTGCTCTCATTTCCTCATCCATAGCTTGGACCCAATTTCTATTTTGCAATGCTTCTTCAACTGATAATGGGATTTTCACAGAATCAACAGCTGCAATAAAACTTTGATATTGTGCGGAAAGATGTTTAGTGGAGACATATTGAGAGATAGGGTGTCGATATACGGAGGGACACGATCTTTTATCCTTCCTCAAAGCAATGGGTAAATCAACTGGATTAGTGTCACAAGTATCAGAAATAGAACAATCATCATTTGAGAAATCATTTTCAGTACTTACCTCCGGTTCAGACGATTGAATTTGTTTATGGAGAATGTCAGATTTACTTCTTCTCTGATACACTAGAGTTGGTGCTGAAGTTGTTGATTCCTGTGGAACATAAGGCATTGAAGGACCAGGAACAGTTACTGACTCTTTTTTTTTTCCTCTTTAAATCATAACAAGCAGACATATCTTGTTTCATGGAATAACTTCGACGAAGATAATCCCAAACTTCCTTTGCACTTGAGAGATACATGCAATTTCTACTAATTTCTGGAGATATGGAGTTCCAAAGCCAAGTATTAATAGCATAATCATCTTTATCCTAGGAAGGGAAATTAGGAGCAGTAACCAGAGGAGGATTGCCTTCAATATGATCTAGCATGTCACAACATTTTACCATGTTGTATAATATTTCATTGATAGAATAAAAGTTATGCTTACAATATTGCAACTACATGCTTTAAATAAGAGAATAGAAAACCTAATGGGTTTTGACTAATGGACCTCATTACTAATACTACTAATTACTATTTACAGTTTAATATTTACAAAAGCATCCAAATAGAATCTCTTGTTTCTTAGAACCATCACAATAATGCTTTGCAATGAACTAGAGTCAATTTCCCTACGTGGATTTCCAATTCCTAACCTCACTAATTTAAGTGTGATTTGGTGTAAGAAGTTGCATTCTCTACCTAAGGAATAAAGTTGTACAGATATTTTGCTTCCACATTATTCTTGATTGACAGTAGGAATAAAAAGTAACGGACACAAACAATAAGCTACTCAATCAACTTCTGTAGCAAATATACCATTTGAAAATCATGTCTTCATTCTCTTTATTACTTTTATTTATATTTGAGTTGAACGAATGGCTTCGATTATATCTCTTGTGAAGAGAATCTTGCATGTTAGATTTTAGAAACGTGAAGAGAATATTTTTATTATTGAATAGTATTAATCAATCGACCACTATATAAATCTTGTGTAGCTTCATTTCCTTCTACCTTTCATTGCATTTTCTTTCTACACCTATTACTCAAACTATTCTTACTCTGTTGAACTAAGTTATGGAGGCTATTGTTGGAGGAGCATTTCTTTCAGCTTCTGTAGAGAAGTTGGTGGGAATGATTACTTCTGGCGAGTTTATTGATTTCTTTCGGAGGACTAAGCTTGACGATGTGCTGATCTATAAGGTGAGAGGGTGGTCACATATTCCAAAAAATTTTGATGTTGTCACTGTTACTAAAACCATTCTTGAATCTGTCACGTCAGGTTCAGGAACAGTTACAGACTCTAACATTGCTAAACTCCATGCTCAATTGCAACAAACTTTAAGTAATCAAAAGTTTTTGTTAGTATTGGATGATATGTCGCACGAAAACTATGTTGATTGGAATAGTCTAAGTGATATTTTTAATGTTGGACAAATAGGAAGTAAGATCATCATCACAGCTCGAGATGGAAGAGTTGCGCTACCGAGGCATGAGTCTCTTTATGTCCACCCTTTAGGATCTTTAGAAACTGAAGATTCCTGGAGTTTACTAGCCAGACATGCATTTGTAGAAACAAACCATCAACAACATTCTAATCTAGAAAAAATTGGTAGAGAAATTGCTGAAAAATGTCGTGGATTACCATTGGCTGTAATAACATATTGGGGCCTATTCTTCGCACCAAATTGTCACCGGATCATTGGAGTGATGTATTAAAGAGCAGTATTTGGGAACAGACAAATGGTGAAGTGCAACCATCTCTGTTATTGAGCTATCATTTCCTCCCAGGTTATTTAAAGGGATGCTTTGCTTATTGTTCAATTTTTCCGAAGAACTCAATTTTAAGCAAAAAGATGGTGATTCAGTTGTGGATTGCAGAAGGCTTAATACCTCAGCCGAAAAGTGAAGAAAGTTGGGAAAAGGTAGCCGAAGAATACTTTGCTGAGCTAGTGTGGAGGTCTCTGATACGTCAACGGCCCATTGATGATGAGTCAAAAGAGTTCATTGGTGATGAGAGAGTGTGCTTTGAAATGCATGACCTCATCAACGATTTAGCTATGGCAATTTCATCTCCGTATTGCATTAGGCTCGACAATTATAAACCTGATGAAAGGGTAGAGAAAAGGGTGCGACACTTGTCGTTCGATAGAGTAGATTACTCCTCAAACAATAGACTTGAAAAACTATGTGGATTAAAAGGCCTGCGAACCTTCCTGCCCATGCCATTGCAAATTTCATGGGCTTGTGAAAATTCCGTGTCGTCAAAGTTATTTTCTGACTTGTTGTTGACAATGACACAATTACACGTGCTGTCACTTTCACACTTAACAAGTATGACTGAATTGCCCAACTCTATTGGAAATTTGATATATTTGCGATACTTGAATCTCTCAAGAACTCAGATTAAAACGTTGCCTTCAGAAACATGCAAGCTTTATAATTTGCAGACTTTGTTGTTGTCAAGTTGCCAACAACTCACTGAATTGCCAAAGGACGTGGGGAAATTGGTGAAACTACGCCACCTTGACATCAGAGGCACTAAATTGAAGAAAATGCCGACACAAATTTCCAAATTAAAAAGTCTACAAACATTGTCAGACTTTGTAGTGAGCAGCGTTAAGGACGTTGGATTGAAGATTGAAGATCTTGGAAAATATCCCCATCTACAGGGAAGCCTTTCCATCTCACAACTTGAAAATGTAACTGATCCATCTCATGCTTCTCAAGCAAACATGGAGAAGAAAAAGGAAATTGATGACTTGGAACTAAGATGGTCTTACGTTACTCCTTCAAACTCACAAATACAAAATGTTGTATTGGAACGTCTATGTCCGTCGACAAATTTGAAGAGTCTGGCCATCTCTCGATATGGTGGAGACAAATTACCAAATTGGTTGGACAGACCTTTCTTTAGCAACATGGTGCGTATGAAGATCTCGGAATGTATAAATTGTTCAAGGCTACCATCCCTAGGGCAACTAGATAATCTTAAAGAACTCTTTATTAGTGGAATGGAATCCGTAAAGAGTGTTGATACTGTGTTCTATGGAAGTGGTTCTGCTCCATTTCAATCATTTCAACCATTCACCTCTTTAGAGACTCTAAGCTTTGAAAACATGCCAGAGTGGGAGGAATGGAAGTTGATTGGAGGTGGATCTACAGAGTTTCCTAGTCTTATAAGCTTGTCACTAAGTGATTGTCCAAAACTCAAAGAAAACATACCGATCAATCTTCCTAAGCTTAAACATCTGTGTGTGAAACATTGTCCCAAACTCATAGGGATTACACCCAACAACCTTCCTTCCCTCGTTGACCTTAGGTTAAAGGATTGTCCCTCATTGATGAATTCAAGGCATTCTGACATATTCAGCCAATTGATGATTAGTCTGAATTCTCTTCAAAATATGACCTTACAAGACACTCCAACTCTAACCTCCTTTCCGAGAGAAGGCCTTCCGAAAACCTTACAATCTCTCGTAATTAAGGGTTGTGAGAATCTGGAATTCCTTTCTGCTGATTCTTTTCACAGTTACACATCACTTGAGGATTTGCAAATACACGATAGTTGCAATTCGATGATATCATTTACCCTGTGCTCTCTCCCAGCCCTCAAAATTTTGAAGATTATAGGCTGTAAACATTTAAAGTCTCTCATAATTTCAGAAGATGCATCAAAACAAAATCTCTTGTGTCTTAGAGACATCTGGATACAAAGTTGCAATGAACTAGAGTCGGTTTCTCTAATTGGGTTGCCTATTCCTAACCTCACTCATTTAAGTGTGCTTATGTGTGAGAAGTTGCGTTCTCTACCTGAATCAATAAAGACTCTAACTAGCCTTCAAGATATGTACATGGATAACCTTCCAAACCTGCAATCGTTTTCAATAGATGATTTGCCTATGTCTTTACGGGAAATTCGGATTGGTGAAGTTGGAGAGATTTTGTGGAATACAACTTCTTGGGAACATCTCACTTCTCTTTCAGCTTTGTCTCTTTCAGGTGATGATGTTGTGAAGGCGCTGGTGAAAATACAAGTTCCTGTTCTACCCATTAATATCGTTGACTTAGAGATCTTTTCTCTTGAAGATGTAGAATGTTTGGATGGGAAGTGGCTTAAACATCTCTCCTCTCTCCATACACTTGAGATTCATTTCGCATCCAATCTCAGGTCATTGCCGGAGCAGGGGGACTTGCCTTCCTCTCTTAAAGAACTGATTATCACAAAATGTCCGTTATTGGAAGCAAAATTGCAGAGGAAGAAAGGGAAAGAGTGGCGTAAGATTTCTCACATTCCATCCTTAGATATATAAATCACAAAATCATCGAATGAGTATTACATCAAGGTGAGTCACCTGTTTCTTGTTATAAATATGTTTATGAGTTATCTTTGCTACAAATTTATATATTATTGTTACTTACTGCAGTCTGTCTATCTCGTTTATTGCAGATTCTAAAGAGGCCTTTGTTAGAAGTATGTTTCATTTTGGCATGTCTAAATTTTATTTGCTTCTGGTTACTGCCTAACACCATCAAACTTTACACAGTATCTCCATTTGTTTTTATGTTAGGTACATCCTTCCAATGATTTCCCTACATGTCTGAATCATCGATATCCCGGAAATTTCCATACATCTGTAGAGAGATCATCCACGTCAGTCAAGACACATTCATCCTATAGATTATGCACAAAATAGGTGAAAATGGATTATTAAATTCGAGTCAAGAATATTTCATGATTTTAGTCAAATGAATAAGTAGAATGAGACAAGATCAATTTAAGAAAAGTGATGTGATTCAAGTCAGTTAAAGATGTGATTCGAGTCATGAAGGTTTGTGATTCGAATAATGTACGAACCCTGATTCGAGCCAAATAAGTTAGAATCAAATTGAAAAAAGTGACACAGCTTGTGATCTTTGTGATTTGAGTAATGTGTTAAGTTTGATTTGAATCAAACAGTTGCTCTCCAAACTCGCCTAATAGTGGATGATTTAAAATACTTGCTCATGATGTGATTATGCATACTTAAAAATACAATAATACACAAACAAAAAAAAATCATATCTTCTACGTGAACACAAATAAAAAGTAACCCTATCTCTTCTTTCAATCAAATACAAACTTTCAAAATCAATATTTAAAACAAAATATTTTTCAATTTTTCAAAACCGAAATCAAAGCTACAAAATTAGAGTGTTAGTATAACCAACTCCCGTACCTTAGAACTCTTTATTGCTTAACTTTAAGCTTTTCTTTGTGTTTTGCATGTTTACTGTGAGTTTATTCGATCTTTTCTCCTTTCCTTAAAAAAAATAAAAGTTCGACGGTAACATCTTGTTTTGCGAGTCTAGCTAATCAATAGTTTAGTCTCCGATTTTTCACCGTGACAGACGGTATTGTTGTTTTTGTCAGTCATCACATATAAATCCATGTTATTGTTGAGTGTGGAATAAGAAGAAGGAGAGAAAGGGCTTTTAGGTAATTATTTAAAGGTAAATAAAAAATTCCATGTCATTAACGGTATAATAGCCACTTAACTCACGTTAATGCCACATAAGCATATTTTGGACGAAATTTTTTTAAAAGGTAACGATGTAAACGTTGCATAACTTAAAGGACTCACTTGTTGCAAGAAAAAAACTTAAATGACCAATTTGTTAAAATATTATAACTTAAAGAATTTTTGGTATAATTTTGTCTTTTCTTTTTTGTATGCTATTTAATAATATTGAGTTTATAGGATCATTATTTATTTAACCATTAAGTAATTCATTTCAAATATACATGTGAATCTAAATACATTTTATACCGTATCAAATTGGATAATACTCAATATTAAAACAAAAAAGATAGTTTTCTATTTCACAAGTTATTATCATGTTAATATCTATTTTATTTTAATCAATAATTATTTTTATTTGATAGGCAAAATCTTTATTTTCAAGTATCAATTTTTTTTCTTTCTCTATTTCATGGTTTCCTTTTTCTTTTTGTACCGTTACTTTATTCACTTAAATTTATATGATGATTGTTGATTTACATTTAAGTATCTAATTTTAAATTTATATACATTTTATATAATATCAAATAAATTTATTTATGCAAATACACATAGATGCTATTGGTTGTTATTATCATTGTAGTGATAGAATTCTACTTATCATAATGAATATTTGACTCATCATAATCACAAGAATGAAACATATTATATATAATATGTGTAAATCGATGGTGGCATTTAGCCTGTACCCATCTATTTTTTTTATGAAGGAGAAGTGAAGTTTTAAACCATTGATAAATTAATATTTAATTTGAACAGCCAAGATGATTGACTTGTTATTTGAAAGCAGGAGTGAAAAAATAAATGAATTGAATTATTAATGAATAGATCAAAATAATTTATTAGTCCATTCACAATCTATTAAAATTTTATTTAAAATATTCAATGTAATCTATTTATTAAAGATAAAATCCATATAATCCATCCATTAACATAATATCGGTGGATGGATATTCATCCATCCATTTTTTTAAAAAGAAAATTGATTTTTTTATTTTTGAAAATTTTGGTTTTTGATTTTTTAAAAAAAATTAAATTTGTTATTTTAAAAAAAATCAATTTTTTATTTTATTTTTGGAAATAGTTCGATTTTTTGTATTTTTGAAAAAAATATGATTTTCTTTTTATTATACGGAAAAAAATCGTTTTTTTGCATTTAAAAAAAATGATTTTTTGTACTTTTGGAAAAAAATCGTGTATTCTATTTTCGAAAATAAAATATTGATTTATTTGCATTTAAAAAAAATCGATTTTATTTTTCCAAAAAAAATCGGTGTTTTTGCATTTTCGAAAATATTCAATTTTTTGTATTTTCGAAAAAAATTGTTTTCTTTTTGCATTTTCAAAAAATCAATTTTTTGTATTTTCAAAAAAAATCAATTTTTTTTAATTTTTAGAAAAAAATCATTTTTTTATTAAAAAATGTATTACTTTATAATTGTTTTAATTAAAATAGATATAATAAAATAAAAAAGAATTCATTAAATCACTAAAATAGATTGAATGGATTGAATTCAATCTATTACCTTAATTTTTATATGGTGGATTAATGGGATAGATTTAAATAAAAAATATTGTGTTGTAAGTAATTTATTTGTACAACTATATGATTATTGTGTGCAGCTGTCATTTCCTTAATAGAAGAGGAATTACAGGGACTATTTTGTGTATATATTGTATCATGATCAATGAATTATATATCAGAATTATTACTTTGAAAACTTATCTGACCTGATCAGAAAGAGATCACGGTCTGGCCACGCTCTGCTGGGCTGTTATCTGTTCACCTGTGTTGGAATGAGGAGGGGGTGTACCTGCAAGACACTCCGATGCCAAAGTAAGAGATTTGGACAGAGCGATTGCAAATACAGAAAGGGTAAGAAGTGAATATCCGACCCTCTTGTGAAAGAGGGTATTTATAGAGAGACCCCAGCGTTGGGCCAACGGTCATTTGAGTTGGGCTGGATGGCCAGGCCCAACCCAAAGGACTGTTAGGGCTTACGTGGCGTAGTGAAGACCAGAACGTGGTCTTCGCCCTAGTTCAACTGCTCTGTGAACTCCGGAAAGTGGTCCTGCTCTTTCGGAGGTGGGCAGTTGGTAAGTGACATGTCCCCACGGAGGGGAGCACGTGGAGAACGTGTGGAGGACACGTTTAGGTTTCCCGACAAAGGGAGGAGCGTCTGCCCGCGGGGGGCCTCGCGTGCCGGATGACCACGCGTGCCCGACGCGGGTTGTCAGCCCGACAAAGGCATTGTGTGCCCGCCAGACCTGTCCACAATGCTTTGGGCCTTTGAGGAGAAAGAGGATTGGGCCTGCTCGACCGAGTCGAGGCCCAGTCCGGAACAGGAGCCCCCAAGTCAAAGCTCCAAGGGAGGGAGCGAGGACTTGATGACGTTGAGCTGAAAAGGGTGGACCAATACGAGGAGGAATCACAACGTTCTGGATTTCGCGGGGAAAGTGCACGGGTCGTTGCGATGTCGGCCATACGGGGACGTCGAATACGTGTCGTTGGGATAAGACGAAGGGACGTGACTGTTAGTCTTCGCCACGTGTCACGCGTTGGATGGCTCCTAGGGAGGCTACCCTAGGGTACTCAAGTGCCTAGTGAAGTTTCGAGTCCCAAGCAAGGATATAAAAAGGTGAGTTCACGTTCATTCTTACTTTTCGCTTCGCTTGTATTTGTCTACGAGGACCACCACCCATCTTTCGTCCAGATCTGCCACCGTAGCCACCGCCGTGCTTTACACCGTGAATTCCGCCGTCATCATCAATCAAGTAAGTTCTCTTTGTCTTTTCTCTTGCTTTTTGTAATGGGGGTAGTGATTTGTTGAATGCTCCGATGAGGGACGTGGTCCCCCGCCGTAGTGGGCGGAGGTTTTTAGGGTTTTAGATGAATGTCCCAAGGACAGACGTTCATTCTGATGAATGTCCCGAGGACAGGTGTTAGTTTCGATGAATGCCCCGGGGACAAATGCTTAGTTTCGATGAATGCCCCGGGGACAAATGACTAGTTTCGATGAATGCCCCGGGGAAAAAGGAGTACGTTTGTTTGAGTTTTCTAGGGGAGAGCTGGTAATTTTACGCTGAGGGCTGTCTTTCGGGGACTCCGATCGGGACGTCCCCGTCGCCCTTTCACTTGATTAGCGGTGGAAGGGTGAATTTGATCTTGGTCATCGAATTCACCGTTGCCTTCTGCTTTTCAGGTGTTCATGGCGCCATACGTACCGGGGACAATCAGCCCATGCCACAGTCAGTTCCTCTGAAGTAGTGCTCGGCAGACGGCGCCACTGATCTGACTTGATCAGAAAGGGATCACGATCTGGCCATGCTCTGTTGGGCTGGTATCTGTTCACCTGTGTTGGAATGAGGAGGGGGTGTACCTGCAAGACACTCCGATGCCAAAATAAGAGGGTATTTATAGAGAGACTCCAGCGCTGGGCCAACTGTCATTTGAGTTGGGCTAGATGGTCAGGCCCAACCCAAAGGACTGCTAGGGCTTACGTGGCGTAGCGAAGACCAGAACGTGGTCTTCGCCCTAGTTCAACTGCTCCATGAACTCCGGAAAGTGGTCCTGCTCTTTCGGAGGTGGGCAGTTGGTAAGTGATGTGTCCTCGCGGAGGGGAGCACGTGGAGAACGTGTGGAGGACACGTTTAGGCTGCCCGACAGAGGGAGGAGCGTCTGCCCACGGGGGGCCTCGCGTGTCGGATGATCACGCGTGCCCATCAAGGGATGCGTGCCCGACGCGGGTTGT